CCCATTCCTGTGGACCTCGCTCTCAGGTGGCTACAACTGAAGACGCATAATGTGTTATAGCCCTTGAAGGGAGGGGAAGAGGTGTGGCTCTCTGGAGCTTCAAAACTCTTGAAGAGTCGAACAACTGCAGGTACCAGAGGTAGTGTTTCTAAAATGGGCTGAAGGCGGAGGGGTGCATTCTGATAGCCCCTCAACCCACGCTGCGAAGGCAGCTGCCCACTGATCAGGCTGGTCCTACCAAGATTTCCTCTGGGACACAACTGCATTTTGATGGGATTAAGGATTAAAACAGGCATATATTAGGGGAGTGTATAGCATGTGCAAAAAATGCAGGGTTCCAGGGAACAGAGTTCAAATCCATTTCTTACTTTACAACCTCAGGAAAGTTCCTGGTGTCCTTCTGGGTCTCAGTCTTCTCATATATAAAGGATGAAGGATTGTGCAGATATAAAGGACATATCTACCAAGGATTGTGAAGAATAAATACATGAAACAGCAGAGTGTCTGGCATATATACAGTGAGTGCTAAGAAAGAGTTATAATTTGCAAGGATTAAAGCATTTGAGAGAGCCGAGATCTAAGCCTAGATCTAAAAAGGGGAAACTTTGGGGGCTTGGAGGTAGTTCTGAGAGTTCTAATTATCTGTATTCACTTTCAAAGCTTAAGATTTAATTAATGCAAATGACTTAAAGAAACATTGTACCAATGCTTATTCACTTGATGTCTTTCTGCTATGCAGCATGTAGAAAGGGTAACCAAATATTTTTATATGCTTGTGACGGTTTCAGTTTGCCCAGCTGTATAAGGCAACACAGCTCTGGTTTATGCCTATTGTTACAGTGTAATTATGAATAATGCCCCCTTTAACTCTTAAAAGTATCTTGATTTATGTTTTTAAAAAAACAAGTATCCTGATTTAAACAATAAATTTTTTTGTCACCTACACATGGAGTATGTCAGCCCCACCTCTTTTTATTTCAATAAAACATTTTACAAGCTACTGGCTTTCTTGATCTTAACACCTGTCCAAGATCCCTGACAGCCCCAAAGGCAATAAATTAAGTTACAAAGATACCTGCTTCAATATGCTTTCCATCACATACTTTTGTAGGGACAACTCCAGTTCCGGATCTGACTCCAACATGCATGCAAGTCTCAGGAGGTCTGAGAGGGGAGAAGGTGGGGAAGGCTTAGAAAGGGAAGCCTGGCTCTGCAGTGCTACAGAAAGAAGACACGCCCAGTCCCCACTCCCTTGGGCAGTGGTCTTCACCGTTCAGTCAGGAAACCCTGGGATACCCACTGGCCAAATAGGACCAAGGGATATCCAATGAGAAGTTCCTAGAGGTTGCAGGTTTCACAAAATTCGGTTGCATGTAGCTCAAAATCCTGCTCTCACTGTCATCACACTTCAGAACTTAAGGACGTTTTCATCTCTACACTTGAACTAAAAACATTGCCACAGGTGATGGGAATGGACAGATAAGGGGATGACAACAGAAGACAATGGTGACAGAATGCAGGGGAGGATAGAGTTGAAAGAACAGCAAGAGGAAGATTCAGGAGACTGGCTTCTGATCCCAGGTTTATACCCACTCGCAGTGTAACCCTGGACCTGTCACTTCACTGCCCTGATTGGCTCCTATTTCCTCATCTGGGAAAAAAGCACTGGGGTTTCATGATCTCTACAGTTCTCTTCACTATAATGGTTGATAGTTCCATACTCTAGAATAGACTGATAGGAGGTGGTAAGAATGAGTTGAAGAAATCAAAAAATAAGGGAGAAAGAAATGATGATACGCTTTCAGCAGAGAATGGAATAATGATAATGTTAAAAAAAATTAGATGAAAAGTAAAAAAGGAGTCTGCAAGGGATGTTAATTAAGAAGCACATTTAATTTTAAAGTGCTTATTGAATATATTCAAAACCTAATGTATTTAAAAAGCCATGCTAGGCACTCCATGGGAATAAAAAAGTGATTAGAGACTTCGGCTTTTTCCTAGAAGCACTTATTTATGGACATTTAACTATAATATGTATGGAAAAGTTAAACAGAAAAAACTCAGGCCAAATGGGCTAAGAGATTATAAAGACCAGAGAGATTCAGAGGAAGCAGTGGTCTAGCCAAACTGGTTTAATCAGAAAAGGGTTCACAGGAGAACTAGGAATTTAACTGAATCTTGAATGACTAATGGCTTTTTACTAGAAGGACTGAGGAGGGCATACCTAGCAGAGGGAACCGAGTAGATCAAAGTCAAGAATGAGCAGAGTATGTTAAAGAACTAGAGAAGACTCCAGCCTGGCTGGAATCCCATGCGAGGACTGGAGATTAAGAAGAAATGACATTGAGCAGAATGTGGAGAGAGGCAAAGAGTTCAGGAAGAGAGCAGGCATTGTAAAGGCCTGGGCCATGATGGTGGCAATGGGTATGGAGACAAATAATACAGAAGTCGGCTGGTCTTTTTGTTTCTGGGACCTGAGAGTAGCTTCTAAATCTTTGGAATTTCCCAGGTTGTAGGATTGTCTCTGCTATTCACGGTGGGCCCTTTGGATCACACCTGAATTTATGCTAATGAGATGACTCAGGAGAGAGGCTGATCTTTCTGGGAAGACCAAGCATGTGCTAAGAGGGCTGGGGCTTTGAGCCAAGTGATAAGAGCCTGACCTCCAGACTTCTGAGGAGAGGAAGGGGGCTGGAGATTTCAATGATCTAATCAACACACCTACTTAATAAAACTCCAATAAAAACTCTGGACTCCCAAAGCTTGGGTGAGGTTCCCTGGTTGGTAATCATACCTTGATGTGCAGGGAGAGTGGTGTGTCCTAAGGATACAGAAGCTTTATGTTCCCAAACATGAACCCTCTCCCAGACCTCACCCTATGTGTCTTTTTATTTGGCTGGTCCTGATTTGTATCCTTTACAATAAAACCATAATCATAAACATAGCAGTTTCCTGAACAGCGTGAGTCATTATAGTGAATTATTGAACATGAGGGCATTGTGGGAACCCTTGGATGTGTAGCCAGTTGGTCAGAAGTGCAGGTGGCCTGGTGATCCCAAAACTTGTGGTTGGTGTCTGAAGTAAGGGGAATCTTGTAAAGAACTCCACCTGTCTGCACTAACCCCAGGTAGCTAGTACCAGAACTGCAGTGTGGTATTGTCGTGTTCCAAATAAGGCCTGAAGAAGCCCTTTGTTGAAGGCACCATTAAGATCCAGGAGATGGGATGGGGTACAGCTCGAGGAGTGTCACTAGATTTTCTCCATCTTTGGTGCTTTAGGGTTCTCATTCTTTCCTGGTCAATTTTCCTACAGTTCCCCTCAGCCTCCCTCCCACTCCATTACCCACTGCAGTTTTGTGAAACTACAGTCTACTATTTGTGATGTTCAAAACACTCAGGACCTATACATAAATGATGAGAAAGAATGTTTCAAAGACGTTTCTGAAGTTTCTAGTTTGGATGAAGATAAGTAGAGAAAGATAAGTAGCATAGAATTTAGACATTATTGCCCTGGGTGCTATGTCAGCAAACCAAGATCTAGATAACTTTAGTGTCCCTGTAAATGCTCTGTTTAACCAGAAATGCAACAGTTTAGCCAGCCAATTCCCAAAGGCCAAGCCAACTCTGGGCCTTCTCACCTCAAACAAGGTGGACCATGAGGTCCCAGTCAGTCAGATATTTTCTATTTGTCTCTTCTTTGTTCTTTTTCTTTATCCTGTAAAATCTTCTTGCCTTAAGTTTGCTTTCATTGCCTAAAGTGTCTTCTTTAATAATTTTTTAACAACATGTTAAGGTTGGAGTGCCTGTTTGACGTCCAGTAAAGATGGCAGTTTTTTATGAGTCTAGAATTTAGGACCAAAGTCTGGCCTGAATTCTGGCAGTTAAGGCTGGGATTTGGGTGGGGCAAGCAACTTGCAAGACCTTGAAAGCAGTGTTGCCTTAAATTTCATTCCCTGGGCTCCTGTTTCCTTTGGTAAATTGATGGTCATTAGTGACCTTGACATAAACAGTCTCAGTAGACGGGAGAAGTGGACAGAAGCTAGATATCAGAAGCTCAAGCCTGACAAGTTAGGGGAACACATCCCCCACCCCCAACCCAGGAGCAGGAAGTCAGTGCTTACTGGGTGAATAAATAAATGAGAGGATAGAAGAAGTGGTACGGACAGATTACTCTTCTAAGAGTAATGGTGGTGAAGGTTAGGATGAAAGAGCAGGGTTCATAGGATTTTTAGTTTTTCCTTTCATGATGAGGGAAATTTGCAGTTGTTTGGAAGATGAAGGAAAGGGGTCACTGCCAACGGAGAGGAAAAGGAGGGTTGTACCTAGAATGGCTATTGTGGGGAATGGGAAGGGGGTCTCCTTTATGTGCTGCTAGGGACTGGGAGCTGTACTCAGGAGACTAGCCATTTGTAACAGAGCCCTTGGCATTGGTACGAGACCCTAATGACCACTGGTAGAAGCAAAGGCTCTTGTCCATGGAGGGTACTTACTTTTGTGGTTACCAGAAGGATAATAATCCATGAAAGTCATACACTTTGTGAAAAATTCATCAAAGTTAAATGTAGAGGGTGGTTTTAAGAAATTAACCTAAGTGGAAAAAAAAAGAGAAGTTTTTGGGTTTTCTGAGGGCTGTGTGATCCTTTGAATGTAATTTCTCAGCAGAAAAGGCAGGGAGTATGCTTTTGAATATCCAGGACATGATAAACAGAGATTGGCATACTTAAATAATGAAGATCTTTCATTTCGTGTGATTACATTAAAAATCTCTCCAGTTAGTTGTTAAGATCTCAATCTTCAGTATATACAGAGAGAGCCATTCCAGGGCTAACCTGTATAATCTTCTTCTAGTACTCTTAGAACGTCTTCTTTTTTCCTTTGTAACATTTTAACTAAAATAAAAGTTGGTTAAACTGTACACCATTTCTTTCTTATAAGCGTAAAAAGACAAAGGGGGCTGATGCCCCCTTTGGATATTAGGAGCATCACCAATAATAAGATTCACATCAAGGACATGAATCCCATGATGTGATACACAGAGAATAGTACAACCTCATTTCTGTGATATTCTTGCCTCCAAAAATGGATAAACTTAGTTCAGTCAAGAGAAAATACCAGGCAAAACCAAATGAAGGGACACTCAGCAAAATAACTGATTGACACTCTTCTTAAGTGTTGAGGTCATAGAAGACAATGAAAAAACTGAAGAACTGTTGTTACAGATTACAGGAGACTAAGTAAAAATTTTAAAATGCAATGTGAGATCAGGATCGAATCCTGGAATACTTCACTGAGGACATTATTGGGAAAACTGGTGAAATCCAAGAAGGGTGAATAGTATTGTACTAATGTTAATTTTCTGGTTTTGACTATTGCACTCTGGATATGAAAAATGTTAATATTTGGGGAAGCTGGGTAAGGGGTATATGGAAACATTGTATTATGTCTGAACTTTCCTGTGAATCTAAAATTAATTTAAAAATGAAAACAATCTTGAAGGGGGAATAGCTCAGTGGGAGAGTGCATGCCTAGCATACATGAGGCCCTGGGTTCAATCCCCAGCACTTCCATTAAAATAAATAAACAAGCCCAATTATCTCCCTTCAACAAAATTCAAAAATAAAAATAAATTTTAAATTTTTTAAAAATGGAAAGAAGTTTTAAAGGAATGATAGAAGAAGATGGGAAACCGGACAATGCTACCAGCCAGCTAGGTCAAGCAGTCGGGGATTGTATGACTCAAAGAGCGAGTGGATATGAGGGATGTAGCCTGATGCATAGTGCATGGTGTGGGGGTGCCTCTCATCTTTGCCCCCAACTATATGGATTCGCCATCTTTTCTTTCCATCTGCCAAGCATTCCCGTTCCTGTTCAGCTGGCAGCACAGCTCTCCTCCCCTTTCTCTAGTTGGCTATCTCCCAAGGACCCAGTTCTGCTTATAGTCAACCTTCGGCTTCACCACAGTGTTTTCTACCAGGCAAGGCCATGAAGAAAGTCTGTCTTCCCTTATTAACCTTTGCTGCCCGTGCTCTCCTCCAATCCTCCCTCGCCCTGAGTTAGGAGGGTGTGGAGTAGAGAACGTGAGGGCCAATGGCAGCCCTCAAAACGGCAACCGTCTGCTCTGGGGGAACAGCCAGGAGACTTTTCCTTTCATTAAGCAAGGGCACTAGTCCCTCCGGAGGCCTCCATACCAAATTCCACACCCTTAATCACCTCAGAGAAGCCTGACCACTTCCTCTTGAACGCACCAGCCTCGCTCCTCCCAGAGGCGGCGTCCTGGACCAATACGGCGTAAACCTAACCCAGCCGGACCGCATCCCCGTCTCCGGCCCAGCATCTTCCTGACAGCAGCCTCCCCAGTGGCTTTTCTGAGGCGGCCCCGGGCACAGACGGGCGGAACTCCCCGCCAGTGGCAGCATCACGACCTACCTTCACCGCTCTCTGATCTGGAATCCTCTCAATTTCAATCATGCTCCTGTCGCACAGCTGCCAGCAGTTTGGTGACAGGATGACGTCATTCATCTGCGCCATGTTCTGTGCGAGGCGCACGTCGTGCACCGCCTGCCCAGTCACCAGAAAGTAGTTTCGAGATTCGTCTCCAAAGACCAACATGGTGATGTGGCCGGCGGCCAGTCCTGGTGAGAAGGCAAGCGGTGAGTTTGCACGAGAAGGTCTGGCTTATTCCCCAGCAGCGTGGGTTCTTGAAAACTCAGAACTTGAGCATCTCAGCGAAATCTCGTTTCTAAAATTTCAGGAGACTTCAAAGAATGCCTCTTCTGGGAAAGCTCCTCCCAAAGCTAGAAAGTTTCTACCTTTCGGCGACATTTAGCTCCCTAGATGGCCCTATTGGCCCCCAAAGTTATTTTACCTTTTCTTCAATTTATGTATACTTAAGGGCAATGGAGGACAACTTTAGTAATTCTTATTTGGTAAGGATTTGCATCTTATCAGAGATTGAGGTTTTAGCTAAAAAGAACCCCTTAGGGTGGAATTTCACGCAAAAGCCAGAGAAGAAAAGGCGGGGGAGAGGCTCGGGCATTTTGACGGTCAAGTATCCTATCCCAACAATGTTGGGAGCTGAAGGGTTTTGTACCAAAGCAACAGAAGACAGAATGGTGTAAAATAGAACATGTGTATGAAATCTATGTATAAATGAACTATATGTGACACACAGTTCTTTTAGTGACTATAATTAACATAACCAAAGTTTGTTTTTAAACTTTTCTCTCCACCGTGCTGATTTGTCAAGGCTGACTTGCCCTGATATATGCATGTGGTTTATTTCCCTTCTGAAGCACACTGATGCTTAGGGTTTTTAAAAGAAAAGCTACTGGCACCAGTTTTCTAACAGCCAATCAGCATGCACTTCTAAATGGTCTCCATCACTTTCAAGAAGGATGAGCACATCAACTCTCTGGGGTGTTAACTTGGAAAAAGTACCCAGTATTATAACAACTTGGATTTTTTTTTCAACAGAAGACTTAACGTATTTGGAAATTCTGAATAACCTAAAGAAAACAGAGAAACAGTTAATTGGATAACCTCTGATCTTTTCTTCACCTCTGATACTCGAGAATTCTAAGTTTACAAAGTTTAGGCAGGAGCTAACACCAAAGGCACCAGCTGTGACTCATTTACACCTCTCAGCATCTCATTCTCCACCTGTGAAATGGACTCCGGGATGCCTATACTTCAGGACTGTGGTGAAGGGGAAATGAGACGGTGTGTGTAATGTCTGCAACACAATATGCACAATCTGGGAATGTGTGTGAGGGTTATATGTGTGACTTTAGGAAGCTCTCTGTTACATGGTGCTGTGCTGTAGGCTGACCCTTTAAGCGTTTCTGGCACATAATCCTTATGAAGTGAGGGATAGCCAGTCTCACGACATTGCTGAATCTACGTACTCACAAGCTACTCCCTGTTGTGCTTACTGATACACACCATTGACAGCAGCAAAACCTAATAACAATAACAGCAATGGTCATGATGAAGACTATTGTGTGGAGGGGTTACTGTGTGCCACGTAGTATACTAACCACTTAAATTTACTTTTTCTAAGAGCCTGTGAAGTAGATACTAGGATTTAGCTCAAATTCTCTCTTTTTATTCAGTGGAGGTACTGGGGATTGAACCCAGGACCTCGTGCATGCACACTCTACCACTGAGCTATACCCTTCCCCCACCCCCCTGAATTCTCTTAACTGGCCAATGAAGGAACTGAAACTCACATTCTGGTTAGCCTAATTCCAAAGCTCAAGACATGAAAGGGGGTCTGAGGTACCACATTCCACTGTTTCCTCTTTAGGAGAGAGATGCCTCAGGAGTCAGGACCCATATCCAGACTGCTGTAGCATCTCTTCCTTCACAAAAGCTTACCTATCTTGACTCGGACATCCAGGTCTTCTTCAGACTCCTGGGTCTCAAACAATCCATGGATCTCCAGGCTACATTTAATTACCACAGTGATAATATTTTTCAGTTGCCTCCTCTCCACCTTCCACAGGGCTAGCAATGCATCACCTTGAAGAGACAGACACACCAGGGGCTCCTGACCTGCCCTGGGGAATCAGTCTATTTTGTATGAAGTCTGTGCAGAAACTTACTCTTCAAACATCCCTCCATCCTGTGTGCTGGCCACTGCTCTCCCTGAGGTGCTTCCTCTGTCAGAGGACTGGCATCTCGGCACTCCTTTCTTACCCCTGCCATCTCAGAAAGCCCCCATACCTGCAAATTTTAAGATGTCTCCTCCAAAAATCAACACTTCTGAGAAAAGAAAAAAAAAGAAAAGAAGGTAAAATCAATTGCTGGTTTGTTACTTTTTTTTTTTAATTATATAAGTTTCAGGTGTACAGCATCACTTTTTTCTAGATGTCGTTTTTTAATTCTTATTTTTTGTTGACGTGTAGTCGAGTTACAGTATTAGTGTCAGATATACAGAGAAGTGATTCAGTTATACATACATATATATTTCTCATTTCTTAAAGCTAATAAAAACAATTCAATCTTCAGCAGAGGAGTAGAAATTAGACCAAGAGGAACAATTCAGAAAATAGACTTATACTAAAGCTGTCATCTCAGATAAGTCACTTAAACTCATTTAAGTCTGTTTCCTCAATTGTAAAATGAACAGTGAACTAGGTTATGTACGTGCTCTGTTTCTGTGAATGGGAAAAGACAGGAGAGAAGCAGGTGGGATTTCTGATGAGGCCTGAGGACAGCTACCCTACTCCCATGATAGCGGAATGTTCTTTACTGATCAGAGTATGTTATGAGCGGGGGCTTCAGTGAGCATGGGTGAGTGGATGAGTGACAGGACTCCATGAGAACTGAAAATCAGAAAATTGGAAAACTACAACTATGGTCAACCTGGGTTTTGTTTGTCACCAACTTGCATTTAGTTTATTTAGGCTTTATGGCATAAATGGACATTTTTTTCCTCTTATTTTTGCATCATTGCAAATTTGTTGAGCACTGTTCTTCTGAGTGCAATGCAAAAAGGGATTAGATGCAGTTTCTGCTTTTAACGAGGATTAAAATTTTGTGTAGTAGGCGATTTTAAGATATTACAAGGGAACTCACAGCCTGATAATAGACTAGACCTAGAATTTACCTTAATAGAGTGGAAAGAATCCTTTTTTTCATGAATAGTTTCAAATTGATAATGCAAACAAGATGGTAGGTAGAGGTGGAAAAGGAGACCAAAATTTTCAGTTGGCTGTTAAGTGCTTCAGAATCCATTATTAGGACACAAATTCCTGATATGTTAATTATAAATCACTCATCTATTCATACAATATTCTCTTTTTTTTAAGTGTTCTCTTAGTGACTACATTTGAATTATACTGATGCTCGCTTTCTTGACTTACTGAATACAACTCAAAGTATTACTATTACAGTTTTATTTTTAATTAAAAAATACTTTATTGGTAAACAAGGCTAACTATTACCTGATAATGCAGGGTTGCCACAGATTTTCAATTTGTAAAAACTGCACTATCTGGGAAGCACAATAAAGCAAACTGCAATAAAATGAGGTACACCTGTATGTAAAAATATATATAGACTCCCCAGCAGCCCGGGAGACATTACCATACTGAGTGATTCAGCTAGCGGGGAGGGTATAACTCAAGTGGTAGAGCACATGCTTAGCATGCAGGACGCCCTGGGTTCAATCCCCTAATTACCTCCCCCCCGTAAAAAAATTTAAAAAGATGAAATCAAGTAACTAATAAAAAGGATTGCAACTTTGTTCTTTCATCACATTTCATATCCATTTTTTGTTTGTTTTCCTTTGTTCTTTGCTCTGTTTTTTTTAACACCTTTATTGTGCTATAATTCCTGTACAGTAAACTACACGTATTTCAGATGTACAATTTGATGAATTTTGATAGATGTATACACCTATGAAACCACCACCACAATCAAGACAGCTAACATTTCCACCTCTCCTCAGGAGGTACAAATTTTGAACTCCTGATTTATCCCTTTCCACCCCCTTTACCGCCTGGTAACCATAAGCTTCTTTATATCGGTGAGTCTGTTTCTCTTTTGAACTACAGCTCTTTGAAAAGTAGTCTCTGATTTAGTCTTGTAATGAATGCAAAACTAATCCCTCAAATAGTCTGTATTAGGGAGGTTTGATTACCTTCCTTCACTTGTACTGCATTTCCAAAGAGACTGCTGTCATACACATTGCATAGGGAACATGAGTGTTAAGCAGCAGTACTCTATCAGATTATAATGGACAAATATAGAAAAACAGTGAACTGGAATATGCATAAGCCAGAAAGCTCTGGGGACACTTACTCTCCACTATTGCACTTATGTAGTGGTTGAGGATCTCCACCAACTGCTCAGCCCCTCGGTCCATGTACATGGCTGTGCTGAACTTCTCAGTCATTGCAGTAAAACCTGGAACAAATATGCAGCTAGTTTCCATGGGTGCTTGGAGGAACCAAACAGAGCTAAGAGACGAGGACCACACTGGCGAGCAGCGGGCCTCCACTTTTAAGAACTGGCTGGATTTCTTTTTAATGATCTTTGTGGCTGGTCAAGTGTCAGAGATGGGGCCTCTTCTATCTGCGTTTATTATTTTAGGGGTCAAGGAAAGGCACCAGATACCTTTTCCCTCCAAATTTCTCAACTTAGTACAGGGATGACTGCAGTTTCTTTAACTGGGTACAGAACTTCTAGTTCATGGTAATGAAAACACACAAAATTCAAAGACTTCTGAAGAGGTGGCAAGTTTGCTGTCTCCAGAGAGACCGTTTCCTGAGGTCAGTTTTACCTGGGGGTGGTGTGGGGCTTGGGAGTGTTGAGTCAGTAAAGTTGGGACAGGGACACTGAAGCCTGAAGTTCTAGGCCTAGGACTCGGGCATCTTAAAGATTTGCCCATGACTGGACATGCTGAGTAAGGGAAGACGAGAGCCAGGTCCACAGGTTATCCCTGCTCCCTCCTGTTTTCTCAGTAGGAACATTTGCGGAAACAGCACAACACCTCGAAAATGCCACCCCCACTCTGCCATCAAGCTCTGCGTGTGGTTCCAACGCGAGCCTGTCCTTCACCCATGTTAAACATCCCTTGTGCGCTTGCCTGAAATATCAACAAACATCAAGACGCCATCAAAATAATCCACAGAAGGTC